AATTTAAGGAAAAAAAGGGAAGAAATTCATGCAACTGATACAACCCAAAATGATAAATTAGCAATAAACGCAAAGATTGGTGAAGGTCTATTCTTGAACCCGAGAAGGTGCTTCACTGAAGAGAAACTCAGAAATTGGAGAATTCCCAAGCTTTTTACTATGTACAGATGTTCCCCCTCTGCTCTCTCAGGGTACGTGTTGGAAAGCTAAGAATTTAGGTCCAACTTCTAGGATACTGGTATCCAGACGACAGAAAATACAACTCCAATGAATTTCCCCACTTAAATGACAAATGGTTACAGAGCTTGGATACAAAACTGTGGATGGTATTTATTTATCTCTGAGCATTCCTCAAATAGAATGCACAGTCTTGTTGTCCTCTCAGCAAACCCAGGTGTAGACAGGGTACATGATTTGATAGATGAGGAATCAGAAAGACAGAGATCTAAAGCTTAATCATGGTGCCCAATGAGAGACTTGACATGTCACAAGGCTCAGACCAAATGGAAAATGGACATGGTGTGCCCTCCTTGACCCGTGGGTCAACCCAAGAAGCTTCCCCATCCAGCCTCCCACCCTGTCCTGCCAAGTGTCTCTTATATGATTTTATTTCCTGATAGCCAAGACGAGAGGTGCCCATTCCACCTGCTATGACACAGAAACCCTCAAAATTCAGGGGGCATCTAGACAGAGAGAGCTTAAACTATGGTGAGTCCTACACAGACCAGCCTTTGCAGAGTTGACTCTTTCCTGTTAAAAGTCCCTGTTACCACATACGGTAGCAGGTTCCAGGGACTAGGACCTGATATCTTTAGGGGCCATTCATCAGCCCACCACAGACCTCAAGCTCCTTTAGGACAGGAGTTCCGTCCCACTCAAGTCTGAGCTCCAGTGTTTCCTCAGAGCCTGGCTGGGTAGGAATACTTAACACTTATTTGCCGAATGAATGAATGAATGAATGAATGAATAGCCGAATGGATGAAGTGGTCCCTCCCCATTGTTGAACCAGAACAAAACTCATTGATGCTACATTGAGGGAACAAAAGAGCAACTTTACTGAGAAACACAAGCATCAAGGGTCCAATCATTGAATCAAGTCTTGCCCAGGGATGGAAAGTCATCCATCCCGGTGCACAGAGGCCTTCTCGGCTCCCCTAACATCAGTGACAGGCTCAAACCCGGGATCCCCAGCGTCCACCAGGCCACGGATTCAGCCTTACTCACCTAGCGATCCACGTGATTTCTCCAGTTGCCTGGAAGTGTCTCTGAGCTCCGAGGAATCTTACAATCAGGAGTCGGGGTGGGGTGTGTGTGTTAACTTCCATAATCAAGTTCTGTCTCTCCCGTGGAGGAACAGTGACAGAGAGGCTGTCATACAACCAGGAGAAGCAAGCTTAGGCCAGGGTCCTGCAAGATTCAAATTGCTCTGGGAGCCGGTCTTCTCAGCCCAGGGGTCAAAGCATCTGTCAGGTGCTGATAAGCTGTTCTCTCAGTGATGGGGGACATCAGTTTGGCCAGGATGCGTCCTGTCACCCCATCCTTAGCCCATATTCGGGAACCACCTTTGTGATGATGAACGAGCAGCTGGCACTTGTGTATGATGACCTCAAGCATCAATGGGCTTTATGATGACATGCAAACACTCCAAGATTGGCATCTTCCCAGAATTCAAGATTCTGCTTTTTGGTGCATAGTCCTGGCTGTTCAGAAATATTAGATGAGGCACGTCTCAAATTTGGCTTAATGTAGGAAGTAATTCTAGTTCTGAAACACATTAGTCTGGGCTCTAAGGCTTAGCAGAACATCTGAGCAGCTCTAGGAAGTGCCAGCACCCAGGACTGGAAGCCGTCGTCTGAACTTGTCTGGCTCAGGGGGTCTTGAACGTGGCTGAACAAGAGGATGGCTTGAAGAGCTCTAAATAAATGCTGATGCCCAGAGGGGTTAACTCTGCAATTCTGTTGAGGGTGGAGATGAACATCAGTCCTTTTCACAGGCTTCCCCAGTGAGCAGCCAAATCCCACGAGCCTTACTGGACATTTGGGAAGATCTTCAGCATCTCTGTTCAGATGGCAGATTTGTTTCGAGTTTTCCTTTAGCCAAGAAAAGTGCCATGCCTCAGAGGCAGGAGACCAAAAGAGAATCCATTACCAGTCTTCTCAAGGATCCCACATCTGAGCACTGACACTCCTTTATGTTTTATTAAGTGGCCACTACATAACACTCCATTCCACGAGGATGGCTGATTATTAAATTGCTTAACAGCGCCACTCCATCCATCTCAGAACAACCAAGTAGCACTTGAGAAAGCATCTGTCCCTGTGTCCACCATGAACCCCACACTGGAAGAGCTGCCAGCTGTGATTCCAATGCATGGATGTGCCAGGAGTCAACGTCAGTGGAATTTTGTCCGTTGAGGGAATGGACAGTTAGCTGACCAGTGGTCACTGGTCTCGAAGTTCAGAGTGCAGGCCGGCAAGACACACACGGTGTCCTTTTGATAGCATTTCAAATGGCTCATCTCTCCACGTTGGAATTTGAGAACTCAATACCCATTCTCAGAGAGAGGGTTGAACCATCCTTGCCTGGCTGGTGTGTAAGTAAAGGTGGGTCTTTCTGCCAAGCCAAGTGTCCACTAAACTGTTCAAAATGTTCACAGGCATCAAAAACTGTATGAGTTTTCTGAGACAAATTACTACCAATTTCTTGGTGGCGTAAAACAATAGGAATTTATCCTCACCGATTTCTGGAGACCAGAAGTCTGAAATCAAGGTGTGGGCAGGCCCAGCTCCTCTGGGGTCTCTAGGGGATGACCCTTCCTTGTGTCTTCCAGCTTCTGGGGGCTCCAAGCATCCCCTGGCTCGGGGCCACCTCACTCCCATCTCTGCCTCTGTGGTCACAGGACTTCCTCTTATTGTGTAATCAAAGCTCCCTCTGCCTGTTTCTGATAAAGAAACTTGTGATTACATTGGGTCTACCTGGATAAGCCAGGATGATCTCTTCATCTTAAGATCTTAATTATATCTGCAATGATTCTTTTTTCCAATAGGATCACATTCAGAGATTCTAGGGGTGAGGACATGGACGGATGTTTTGGGAACCACCATTCAAACTCCTATAGAAGCCAAACTGGATGAAACCCCATAGACTCTCCTGCCACTGTCCAACCTCCAGGGCATACAGGTGGCCTTCATGCTAATGGAGGATGAGTTGCCCGCACCTGAAGATACAGGAGGGTCCACGAGGAAACTATCAGTTCAGGAAGGCCCTGATGAAATGTGATTGGCACACAACATCATTATTACTACATTAGTATCATGGTTTGAAGTATAACCCAAGTCTTGCTGATGTCTCCGAGAGAGGACACGCCGTATTAACAGAAAATAGACAGGAAGGGACAGAGCTAAGGAGAGAGGAGACATGTGGTCATTGAATAGTGACTGGACAGCCAGGCTGCCTGCCTTTGACCAATGCTCGAAAAAGTGATGAGCCAATTCACTGCCCAGTAACACCAGCGTGAGTGGTGTCCAGACCCCTGTCTGTGTCCCTGTCCTACCGAACCCCATGGGGAGTGGTGTGTAGACCCCTGCCCTGTCCTCCAGAACCCCATGGAGAGTGGTGTGTAAACCCCTGTCCTGTCCTGTCCTACAGAACCCCATGGGGAGTGGTGTGTAGACCCCTGTCCTGTCCTACCGAACCCCATGGGGAGTGGTGTGTAGACGTGTCCTGCCCTACAGAACCCCGTGGGGAGTGGTGTGTAGACCCCTGTCCTACAGAACCCCATGGGGGGTGGTGTGTAGACCCCTGTCCTGTCCTACAGAACCCCATGGGGAGTGGTGTGCAGACTCCTGTCCTGTCC